CTAATTTATTACTTTAATAAATTTAGGAGTTACCTTTTTTTTTCTCTGTAATGAATTTTTCTGTTGTGCATTCAATAAGAATTTTTGTTGGATCAAATAATGTTATCTTTGCTCTGCCCGTGTCATTTTTCATAAAAATTTAAAACTAAATAGGTTTATTTTTTATTATCAATTTGCCGTAGATTATAATGTTAATATTTAATTTTGATATGTTTATTTCATGAAGTAGAGATATTACTTAATCTTCATACTACGTCATCAGTGATTCTATGATATTTATAATTTGGATAGTCTTATTAACATGTCTATGCTCCTTTTATTTACGGTCTTTACAAACGTAGAACAACAGCTCAATTCTATTGTAAATTGTAGTTATCTTCGCATTATAGGTGCAATAATGTGTGTAGGCATCAAAAATTACCTATAGGTTCCCGTACATAGCTCGAGACAAAGAGAAGGCAATGAACATCGATGTCCGAGTCAAAAAGGATTATCTAATGCTAAAGGGGAAGTAAAGGAATGCACGTGTATGAAGAACTAAAATTTCTACCATGATGCAATTCGAATCCGAAAAATCCCAAAAGGCAAAAGTCATTGGTCTCTTCATCATCTTTCCAATGCAACTAGAATCACCTCATTCCGAGGTCGGACGAAAGAAATAAAGCCAAAATACCAAAGATAGTACAAACTGTTTCGCACCAGTCAGCTTCCCGGGATGCGTTTTCGATGGTTTTCGAGCTGTTTCGATGGTTCTAGAGCCTCCCCAACTATCTTAAGGCTATCCTTAAACATGAGAGAGTTGTTATCAACTGAAGATGCGCTCTTATCCATGAACATGACATCCGAAGCCTATAAATACCCCCCTTTATCATTTGTGAAGGGTAATTGACAATTGACGATGTGTTGATTGAGGAGATCTGAGCAACGGAGAAGCCCTGATGTTTTGAAGAGTGAGGAGCATGAATTTTAGATCTAAAGGCGAGTTCTTGGTGAATTCTTCAACATAAAGAAGAAAATTTTGATAGATCTGCAGTCCCTTCAGCATCCTTCAATCATTTCCTTGGGATCAAACGTCGATTTGATCCTGAGAAGAGTATTTATCTCGTGTCGTCGAGGTATTTACTTTTGTTCTTGCTCTTTCATGAAACAAGAACAGCGAGCCTTCGTTCTGATCAACCAGATATGATTGTTGGCTATCCATGGACTAAAGCGTCCCCGACATAGGCGAAGATCCCACGCAAGCAGCGATCGATAAACGATTATGCGTGTGTTTCTAAGAGATCCCCCTGTTTGTTTTCATTGTGTAAGAAAGTCTTATAAAAAGACTAACTTTCTTTTATTAAATCAGTAAGACGATAAACGTGTAATGGATTCAGTAATGAAAAAGATTTTTGACACAAACAATGTGTCTGTATATTGGTAAACTACTTTTAGGTTTAATTGTATGAATTTTAGACTAGGTCTTGTAAGATGATACCTCATTCAAATGCTATGATTATTGCATATATCATTAATTTTGAATTTGTGTTGAATTTAGCCTTAACAGAGATACTTTTGCCTTACCAACTTGTTTTGAATGAGCATTGCATATTAACTTTAAAATGTAATATTTTTTCTTCTTGTGTTATATAGATGTTTGCTTAGTTTACTTACTATTCTCTTATTTTCTCAGTAAGTTGTATCTTTGAGTTGATATATATTATTAATATTGTGGGTCTAGCCCAAGATAATGCCCACATGAGGTTCACATGGATTAAAATTCTATCTAGAAGAGGATTTGGATGATCTATTTATAATAAGAATAGGTTTGGAGAATTCTATTTTATGAGAACCCCAAGATTAATTTTGGTGCTATAGTATCCGTGAATAGTAAGCCTAGAAAAGAAAAGAGGGGAGAGAGAGAAATAGAGAGAGAGAAAGTAAGATTTCGGATAGCTCGGTTGTTCGATTGCAGTGATTTAAAAGCAGTTATCTTCAGAACGATGATGCCATCAAGGGTACGGTGTTAGTTTCTCCGAGGGTGTTAAAGATTTTCGGTGAGATGGATTTTAGAGCTTTGGTACCCTAGAGGTAACACTGTATATTTTTTTGTGATTTACTCCTTAAGTTCAGGTATAACTGTAGGAGTCTAAAAATACCTATATGTATCTACACACATCTCGAGACGGAGAGAAGGTGACGAATGTCGTTATCCAAATTATCTGACACCGACCAATGCATGAAGCAGAACGGCAAACCAAGTGGCCCACGTGCTCACCGGCCACCACCAAGTGGCCCGCACGTGGCAACCAAATCGGCGAACCGACTGGCCCGTGCACTCACTGGCTACTTCCAAGTGGTTCGTGTACTTGTCAGCTAGCTCCAAGTGTTACGTGCACTTGTCAGCCAGTTCCAAGTGTCTCGCACGCTCATCGGCCACCAAAACGGCCTACAAGTCAACGAAACGATGAAATATGCGTAATGATAGAACAAGTCAAAACCCGGAAAACCAATAAAAGTCGCTGGCGGCCGAGTCACATCGAAATGATTCGGTCGAACCAGTGGTTCGGCCTATAGCCAGGTCATCAAATGGTGGCTCAGCGGTCGAGCCACCGGGTGACGCATCGGCCAGATTTGATCCTGTTTCGGTTTTGACCATTTTTCTTAGGATTTGTTTGTTCCTGAGCATCCCAACTGATCTGATACTATGGTTAATCAGTTACTAACCGAAGATA